GAAAATTGGCTCATAGGCTCATAGAACCAACTCATTTTCCTCTCTGATCACTCACCTCTGATCCTTCATCATCGTGGCGCTCATTCCCAGCTTTGGATCCATTCATTCCATTCATGTAATTAACTTTGTCATAAATTTAAGTACACGGATTATACAATGCTTAATCACGGATATACCATTTTTGACGCCTTTTCGTGCCAGCTTGGTGTCAACTGATACCAAATAAGTGATAAAAATGGGCGCTATTTTATGGCGACGGTATTAAAATATCTCCAATGTGTTTTGAGTTTTTGAGTATATCTAGGTCGTAGTGGTGCAGCGGAACCACAACGTGGTTCCAGAAGCTGTGCTTTTGGTGAGGAAAAGAGCTACGCCGACAATTCGTCCTTTTTATTGAGTACAATTTCCTTGCAAATAAGGAATTTGTTTCGAGTGTCGCGGAAGCAGTTATGAGTAATCCTTAAACATACGTATCCAATATTTGGACATATTTGTTGTCAGTTTCTCATGACTTGGTCAAAGTTGTGGTCTGTTCTGCTCACTTCGGAACCGTAGTATTTTACAGGTTGCCCTTTAGTTTCGGCGGCATGGGCGAGGAAGGAGCTGCTCCACCGGCAGCACCTCCAGCTCAAACTCAGGTATCTGGTTCAGGTAATATCTCATTTCTTCGTTAAGAAGTTTCCATATTGCATACCCCGGCAGGAGGTCCTTCATAGCAAGCCTGTTTTTTGGAACAGTTTTTGCATCTCCTGGAGGCTTATAAATGGACTGAGAGTCCATAGATTTTTCTCCTAATGGGTTCAGGAATATAAAACGGAGTGAGGTTGTTGTGACAATTGTAGCCTTCACTGGCCTCCTGCTTCTTTATTAAACCGCTTTCATTCTCATTCTTAGGGTCTACTTATTCGATCATAAATACATGTGACACAAGTTTTGGACATTTGACACCAAATGCTTGTGCCCCTATCATAAACAGAAAACCATTTTGGAAGCGCGGCTTGCCCTAAATGAAACCCCTCATGAGCTTTTGTAGTTTGTTTACCACAAGTTAGCCCATTGGAACCGAAAACATAGAAAATTTTTCAGCGTTAGTCACATTGAATGCTGGAAAAAAATAAAGTATTCACTGATTTGCCCCATGCACGAGTGGAATTTCTGGGACCGATCCAGGAGGAGAAGTCAAATGCCTAGAAAGTGAAAGCGGCTACGTACTCTGTAGTCTCATCTTCCGTAGCACTGAAAAAATGAAATAGCTCACATAACCCGAGTCTGCAATCTTCGACGCGCCAGATTAGTCTGATGTAGCTTGAAGTGGTGAGCGCTGTTCTACTGCTTGACCGCTTATGCCCCTTCCCCACCCAGATCTTCAATAGGCCTGAGTTTGTAAGAGAGCTCTGAGTCTAGTCCTCGATACAATCAAACGTGTTGCTCGTAGCTCATCAACCTTGTGATAACCATCACATCGGCAGCTTCCTGTAAAAAGTTCCAGCTGACAAGCATAAGGGATCAACCCGTCCACCTTCCCGCTCCTTCCTGATGACCATTTGAATCTCGATCGCTCTATGTGCGAAAGGGCACAGTAGGCCGCTGTACCGCACAGGACACGCCCCCGAGCTCGACGACCCTGACGGTCTAGGCTATTTTGTGTTGGACTTGCTTGGGAGGATACAAACCAACGGTTTGTACTTTGTCCAAACCCTGCACCGTTTCGTTGGTAAAATCGCATTAAATCCTGTAGTGATAAGGAGAATGTGGCCAATTCTGTTTTGATTACAGCAGAATATTCGTACTTCCCTTGCAGCTCTACGAACTTGAGAGTAACGTCTCTGGATGCTTAATTCTTTCGAATCTTTACTAATAAGGTATTTTTCACCAAAATTTCGGTTCTTTGCAAAAGATGGCGCAAGACATTCCTTCTCACCTCCCATCTTCTCTTCAGCTCAAGATGCCTCGCAAAAGTAGGACGCGTCTTAGCTTCCTCGCATAGTGTGTAGCACGGAGTGCTAATTGACTAGTTTCATCAAAGCAGAAAAAAAAATCCATTTTCTCTATCCGGTAAATTGTGCTATTTTCTAATTTCAGATGGATCAGCAGTGCGGCTTGTCGATCCCGTCGATCGGTATGCTGCTCTCATTGTCAGAGTAAGCTTTCAAACGGCTTTCGCTACTTTTCTATCCTTTCTTGATGTACTTTGATTGACCTGGTTTAGGGCACCATCGTAGGTATGGGAATAGCTGGTGTGGCGCTGTTTCTGCGCAATTCTAGATTGGTAAGTCTTAGCAAAACTATAATTCTAACAATTTAGTTTTCCTTGTCTATATGTCATTTAGTGTCATTTACCTCGGAAATCTGAAATGTTTCCATTTTTTATTGCAATGATTTTGATGAAAGAACGTTTGAGCTTTTTCTTTTTTTGTAAGCTTCGAAATTTCTGTGGAACGATCCATTCTTTGTTAGTCTTCCGTTTCGTCCCATTTGGCAATGCACGGTCACACTTTGCGACCGTGTTGCAGTTCGAGCGTAGAGTTGATACGTATTGATCGTACGGGCTTGGGATCATGCGTTGCGATCAGATACGTGTCTACTCCACACTTGAACTGCAAATGTGACCGCACCCTAGGGTGGGTCGGATGTGCTTCTCTGGGACAGAAAGCGAATTTCTAGCGAAACATTTTTCTCTGTAAACTGCAAGACCACTCATGATCAGCGGTGGACCTGAGGTTCCCGCAGCGAAAAATGAAAAGCGAAAAAGGCGCTTTCTGTCCTAGTGAACCACCCGAGAGAGTCAAGTGTTTTTGAACTGTAACACCTAATACATGCTCGCCAATATCATTCCCAATTTCTTTTTGGAGATCTGCGGTATTGCATACATAAATCTTCTCAACATTGAGCCGTACTATTCTTTTTCCAGCTAGGGGAACAGAAAATTCCTGAAATTTTTTCTGAGAAAGTGTTTTGTAATGTATATATGTGTGAAAACAAGTATGTGCAGAAAGTAAAAGAAGTGGGTTCTCGAAAACGAGTTAAAAGTACGCTTTTGGTTTTCTAGCCTGGGGAAAGGATATAATAGGTCTGATGGAGTTTCCTGTTTTTATTTGAAAGTATTCTTGTCAAAATATTTCCATGATTAAGTTTTCGATATACATGGTTTAGTTTGCAAGATTCGAACATGTGGCCCAGATTCCAAAAGAGTTCATTCGGAAGGAGCTCCAGTTGAAAGGAACAGTTCGTGAGGTTAGTATGGAAATTTTTCACGCGCGATCCTCTGAAAGTCTGCAGCATGTTCTTTCATAAAAACTGCCTGGATTCGCCTAAGTGTGAATTTTCCTGCGAAATGTGACTTTTTACCCCTCCTTGCTCACTTTAGGTCGCTCGCTCCCACTTTTGGCAAGGCATCTTGTGCGCACAGAGAAGGTAGAAATTAGCGCAAAAATTTTAAGACTACACAGCCCGATCCTTGGGTTTATTTCATCGTATCATAAGAGCGGTTCCATTAGTGCTAGAGCTCGTAGCTTTCCTTTGCACTTTATCTCCAGTGTTGTGAGGCTAATGAATAGCGTAATATCGAACCATTTTTCAGAGTGAGTGATTTTAAAGTGTGGTCGTTCAGGACAAAGAGTGTTTTTAGTTGTAGTATTGTAGTTATTGGCACATCCATTTTATCGCGTTTGTGTGTGCTTCAGCTTTTTTCAGGAGGAGAATCTTTCAACATTCAAATACTCCCTGCACCTTACACTGCAAAACTTATAAAAATGCGCTTCCTGGAAAGTCGGCCACTCTCCTTTGGCTTTCTATAAGAGCTTATCGGAATTGAAACTAGGTTCTGTATTCCATTAGGAGACTCCAACAACGTACAAATAACCATTTTTGAAGTGTTTTGCCTGAGCTTCTCTTGGAATCAGTTATCTCAGCTTTCTGTTCAAGGTACTACCCACCGGGGAGCTGCGTGTGGAACATTCTCCCGTGGTCAGTCTTCCTTCCTTCTTCTTAAGGAAAAGGCCAGCGAAGGTAATTTTGTCTCACTATTCTTATTCTCCTAATGACGTTTTTCCATGGTTGTGCTGCAACAAGAAAAAAAAGCCGTCTTCTTTCAATTTTTCAGGTACTTGTCCAGTCAGTAATTATATGTTTTAAAGGGTCTTCTAAATATTCGCCTTGCCGGTGTCGATATGTCTGAAGCAGGGCAGCAATTCATATCGAAGGATCTGCGTCTAAAGAATAAGCCGATCACGTTCACTGTTATAAAGGTTGTTCCATGCTACATGACAATTTGCTATCAAATTACTTCCACTTTTATGCATTCCTTCCCATTGCCGAAGCTTGTATAGGCTAGTCGGGTATTTCAGGCCAGCGACAATTCGAGTGACGCTGTTGATGCGGATGTAACTGTAAAAAAGGTTAGTGTCTGTGTAATGTTCAGGTTTTGTCGTGAAATAAACTTGTCTTTTTTCATTCTTCTCAAGCTCTGATGCCGCTAACTACGAGAAACAACTCCTGTGTTGTATACTTTTAAGAATCTTTTCAGAACGCATTCTCACGAACAAATTTGAACATCGAGGTGGTGCGACGCGGCTATGCACGTGTTCCACCGCCTGAATCACCGCGACATTTGAAGGCTCTTCAGTCGATTCCAGCGTATTCAAGGCTAATCAACCGTCTGTTGACGAGTGAAAAGGTATGAAGACTGTTACTTTCATGTTTTGTTATGACCTTTCAGCTAAAGCACTCCCTGTATCTTCTGTGAGTGCCTCAGAAGTGTATTTCGAAGTCTGCTTGTTTAATCGGCTAGATGTTATTATTCCGTGGAGAAGTATTGACGCGTGGTTTTTTCCTTGCTATTTTTTGACAGCTGATCGTGAGCTGCTTTTGATTTGTCCTCGCTATGTTGATTGACTCCAAGGTATGCTGTAGTCTCTTGAGGTGCTCAAGTCGTATAACTTCGTATAATGTATGACATAATATTGGTGCAGATCAGTCTCTCTCACCTGGTGCACGATTGAGAGTACCACATTTCGAGATGAATTTGAGCGATTGCTGAGATGTTTTGGTGCAGCTCTAACTTTTAGAATTTCCTTAATAAGGTGCACTATTATGGACAGGGAGGTTTTATTGCTTATTAATTACTCCTGTGGTTCCTCTGCCGGTTATGTTTCTCAAGAATGAGAATTCCTATTCAGTACAAGTCGTAAATTGCCAATGGCGAGATTGATACGCGATGAAAAAATGGCCGATTCTACTCCCCGCCAACTTTTACTGGCTAGGCCTCTATTAGAAGAACCATTCTGGTTCTTCTAATAGGAGCCTAGTCAGTAAAACGACTCAGGAGCTCTAGTTCTTCTGCGACATCACACTCACCACGAAGTTTCGAAGTATCGTACCCCCCCCCCCCCCCCCTAATTCAACGCGCTGGACGACGGAAAGCACACCTACCACATCAAGATCATGAACGCTTCCGACCGACGTATGGATGGACTATCAGGAACACAAGCGTGAGGAGGCTAGATGTTGATCCTTGCCGCCGTTGTGCTCGACTCACAGGAGGCCACCCTCTATGACTGATTCTGTGATTGTGTTTGAGCTGGCGGACGTGAGGACACCAACAAACGACGGACTGTAGGATTATACATTTCATAGCCTACAACCTGCGCAAATATGACAAATCACTATTGCTAGAATGCCAACAGGAAAAGGAGCTCAGACTGGACAGTGTGGTCACTTGTGCGAATGCTAGGTATTCACGGGAGAGCTCATCTCAATGTCATGTCGGTCTCAGTATAGACATGATCCTTACCTCTATTTTCCAGAAATTTCTTCATTTTCTATGCCTGAAATTTTAGTTTTAATGGTTATTAATACCTGATCACGAAAGCAACCAGGCCTTTCTGGCACCGGCGTCATTTTGCCCCCTTTTGGAACCATTTTGACGCTGCAACATTGTTCGCCAGCTCCGGTTTAAATTCTAATATCGATAATAGCGGTTGGGGATAGCATTGATTACAAATATGAGACAAATTCTTGATGCTGGCGCAGCCAGGCTCTCAACTTGGAGGCGGGAACTCAGAATACAAAACATTGCCCAGATTAGGTATGCCAGTTGCGATTATTCGTATTAGGTGCGTGACTGTCTGAAATTATTAGTCTGAGATGTCGTTTCCTTATTTTATAATATTGTTCCTGAGTGAGCAAAACTGTGATCACGGTTGTGAGCTGAAAACTTCGGTGAGTGTCTGTTGGCAAGTAACCCGATATGATCTATAAATCGTCAGTCATTCAACGACAGCGTTCTTATAGGTTTCCGAAAGAAATTATGGTCCAGTCTCGTTGTAGGTACAAATTGTGGAACTACGATGATCAACACCTTGACGACATCGCGTGTTTTGGCATTTTTGGCTGCGTGGGACAGGAGCGATTTTTCAAGCGCGCCGTCCTCACCTTACTTCCGCTTATTTTCTGTATGAAACGCCCAACAACTTGAATTTCGTACAATTATTCCATAGTAAGTAGTAGTAGAATTTTGTTTAGAAGAGCATGTAATGATTTTATGAAGAAACAAAAAACACCCACTTTTCGCTGCTGTAATTAAGTATAAAGCTATTTTATACCTTAGTTTTTCCATCAAATACAATATATCTTGGAACTCACAGAGTTTTGTATTCACTTCTTCTACGATCTTTCATATGAATGTTTACGACAGTGAAAGGAAACTAGGAAAGAATTGAAGCTGAAATTCTGGGATTTAAAATTTTGCTAAATCAAGGCATATTTGACCACTCTGGCTGCCATGTGGTTTATAGTTATGCTAATGTATTATCTATATTAGACATAGAAATTCAAAGAATACAAAAAACCCGAGAAGAGAGGAAGGGAAACTTTAAAAATGAAGAATGACATGGTTCTGACGCGCATGCGCGTCAGAATGTCTGATGCGGTGCCAAAATTTCTGGCGCGCATTCGCGTCAGCCTGTCGTCAACGTGTTAAGGCATACCCAGGATAGCGCACGCGTGTGGCTTTTGCGCCACGGAAAATGAAGCATTGTTGAGTGAGCCGACAGTAGAGGAAATTCAAAGAGTATTTGATAAAAACGCCAAACTGAAGGCATAGCGAGCTTTTTTTTATGTGGCTGTGCCGAAGCAGTGAGAGTCTGAGCTGGAGCAGACTGGATTAGAAAAATTGAAGCGGTAGAAACGGTGTCTGCAAGATGCTTGAGCATTTGTCTGGCAATTCTCATTTGCGTGAATGCCACAGAAGAAACGTTCACCTGACTGCTAGTGGGTTGCGTTTGAAGTGAAGTACCTGTGGGTATGAACGTTGTCTTATTTAGAGCTGTTTACGAAGAAGAGTTATTGAGTTTTTGTTTTGATTACGTCGTTCCTAATGGATTCATTTGATTAGTTCCCTACTACTAATAGGAGGGCCCTTCAAGTGGTATTAGAATTCCGAAAGCGAGACGACAATGGCTTGTCTAGTGGCAAATATGCAGTTCTCTTTTTTTGTGCTCACACAAGCCTGACACCTTTCTTCGAGCTGCTTTTGATGAGCTTTTGCAAGTGCCAATGCTAAAAGTGCAGGACAATATATCAAAATTTCAAAAATTGCGCTCTAAAGTTTTCAAGCCTTTTTGCCATTTCAAAGAACCGCTTAGAAAAACGTCATTCCTTGTTCCACTGAACTTCCATACAACATATAAAAAATCGTTTTTAATAAGCGCTCCACTCCCTGAATGGCCTCCCAAGCCGAGGAGAATTCATCGAAAACTGAATTCCGGCAATCTATTTCACTGAGGATCCTTTCGTCTTTAGGGTATCTGTTAACGAAGATCTTCCGCGGCAGTTCTCATAGTTATTGATGCAAGCACCGAGCATCACTGGCAATGATTCACTTATTCTATTTTAACTAGTGTATCTGAGATTACTGTTATTTTATACGCCGTTTACGAAACGAAGGATTGATGTCTCCTCCTAGTTTAGCGAGCGTGCTATTGCATGTTTTCATTGCGAGATGCTCTGTTTAATTTTGTCGCGGCAGAGGAGCTTTGGTTTTCCTGTTTTCCTTCACTTTCTTCTGAGAATTGGCTTGCAGCAGGAAGTTTAATCTCGCAGCCAATAGTTGAACGAACGCCTTCTTGGGAGAAGGCAGATGGTCTCCCGTTGGAATACTATCAAGTCACGGAGGAACTTATTTCATTCTGCTTCACATGCACCTGCTTCCCTCGCCTTTCAAGTTTGTAGCACTTAGTCCGATGAGCATACATTTTTGATGCGACTGAAATGAGTTAGATAAGGTTTTGTTTTTGAGTTATGGACCAATGTGCCTACTGGACGACACTCACCTCTTTGAGAGACAGCATATATGCAAGAACTATGCCAACTGTTTGTCAGCGCAGGCTCTATTTTGGATGGCAGAATTCGGCCTCTGAGGAAGTTCTCGCATTTATGTTAAAGGCTTTCAAAAAAAGTTTGTCTGTAACCTTACGTAAATTGCATGTAGTATTGACTATTACCATTATTTAAAACGCTCGCAGCAGACTTATTTAGCTGTAATCACTGAAGAATGCAAACATGAAGTAAAGCTATAAGCGGACCAGGGTCCATATGGAGTTTTGAACTGTTGAGCCCATAATTACCTCAATTTGCGCTGTATTATATTCATATTTTTCTGTTTCAGAGAACCTTTAGGAGATTTGTAAAGTTAGATTTGTCAGGACGTGCAAAACTAGGAGTAATGATTTCCGTTTTGACATGACTTTAGAGCGCTGGCGATTCCTTCTTCCGTGCTTGGCAGAGTCGACCCTGCGTTGCGCAGTTTCAACGGCCACGTTGCGCAGTTTCGCCCGATTAGACACGTTCTCTCGCGCGAACATTCACACTCGCATGCTCGAGCCGTCTGCGTCTCCGCCCATACAGCGTGCGTTGAGGATCTCTCAACGTGCCGTTGCGAACTGCGCAACGCAGGGTTGACTCTGGTTGATGTCAACTGGCTTATGCTCAACACTTGTCTGCAGTTATATCATCTAAGCGACATCAAGCCAAATCTTTGAGTAACAGTTGCTCGAAATTGAACATCAGCTATCGCGTGACTAATTAGCTGTTTGCAAATGTCCGCGAGACGAGGAAGGACAGGCGTTCTTTCACTCAATGCTTGTTTCCGCTTTTTTGTGCCCCGGAAACACCCGCTGCCGCCGTCACAGTGCCTCGTTTGCCTGTTCGGAAACCGCATTACTAGTTAGCGGTGGCGTTTTTGAACGTTGCAGTAGCTGAATCGGGAAAGAGAATGCGTAATCTGATGGTAGGATTTCGAGCAGTTTCAAAGTCGACGAATTTAATGATAAGCAGAGAAATCGTAGTTGATCAAAATTTGTATGGGATTGGAAATTTTCGGAAAACGAATGTCTGCTACACTATTGTTACATTCAAAGTCCAAGGAGGGGTGGTGTTGCAGTAGTGTGCTCACAAACTTGAAAAATTGAAGCAAAAGTTGAAAAATATACTGCAGCGAATGATCTGCTTCCATCTTTTCATCATTTCCCATTTTTAATCAGGTTTTGTCTTTTTTGCGCCTTCTGAAAGGTCAGACTGAGCTGGATAGAGATATTAGGTCGCAACGAAAGTCCTGGCGGATTTCTTCAAAGTCCTGACAAACGGCTGCGCATTAACCTGGAGGGGAAATTTTTTAACCATATA